CATGGCCTTCCCGGCGGCTGAAGAGCTCCAGCCACACATCACAGATGCTGACAAAGAGCAGCGGCCCCAGGGCGAAGAGATAGCCTGGGGGTGGGGAGATAGAGGTGAGTGATGGGGGGGCAGCTCAGGGCTGTGCTGAGGGGTGCAGGGGCCCCCACTCACCCACAGAGATCCGGGTGTGCAAGCTCAGCAGCTCCACCAGCGCGTTGTTGAGGATGACGGCCACCAAGGCCACCAGGATGTAGGTGAGGCTCATGTCGAAGACAATGGAGGTCCCTGTGGAGGGGCAGATGATGAGGAATGGAAAGGTCCGGCTCCCCTGGAAGTGGGACCAAGTTATTGCTAGTTTTTGGGTGCTTAGGTAGTGCTGCCGCTGCTGGAGCCCTACCTGGGTATTTATGGTGCAGATAGTCCACGTCGGTGATAAAGCTGTTGTACGGCAGGAGAAATCCCACCCCAGCCAGCAGCATGGCGAAGTAAATCCCATGGTATCGATCCTGCGGCTCGGGATCCTCAGAAACTGCTCCAGAAGGGGAAAGAAAGAGAAAACAAAAGACATGACAGTGGCACTGCTGCACCCTTGGGACCTGCAGCAGATCCCAGCCTTGATGGTGCTTCCACATCCACAGCATAGCACCCCACAGAACTCACTAATAAACGCACAGAACTCACTAAGAAACGGGCCCGGGCCCAGGCCAGGGAAGCTCCTTCCCTAAATAAAGGCATTTCACATGGTCCCAAAAAAACAGGTCCCCAAAAAAGGCCGTTTAGGCCATTTTGTGGCGTTTCAGACCATTTGTGGCTACTCAGCCCATCCCAGGAAGCTCCTAAATGGGTGGGAAAGCAGCAAGGAACCCATCTCTTGGCTGTGCCTGCCCTCACCCGGCTCCATGAAGGTGAGGACGCCCTTGGCCTGGCTGCCCCGCTGCAGCTCGTCCTCCTCCAGCTGGTAACTGTCGAAGCTGAAGCTCATCACCACGTTCCCCTCCGGCGTTCCCACTGGGCTCAGCTCCTTGAAGCGCTCGGATCCCACCGAGCCCATCGTGGGCAACCTAAGAGGGAGAGCAGTGACAGAGGGTCTGCAAGGGATGGGTGACCCTGAGCCTTCACCACCCCGCTGTATCGCTGCAGATCCCATGGTCTTCATCCACCTGGGAAGACGCTTTCCCTAAGGAGAGAGGGGGTCTTGGACTCACTGGGCAGGGATTTGAGTGGTGAGTGAAGGGATCCGCTGGGATGCTCCCAGTGCCAAATGCCGCTGCCATTTCCCAAAGCACTT